TAGCGGCCCAATCAGATTGACACATAAAATCAACCATCTCAGTGCCTATAAAGAGAAATCATTTTTTAAATACCCATAGGCATCATTATCACGATTGGAACATTACTATATTGTGAAAATCAGGAAAACCAGGGAGATAAATTGTTTCCATACAACTGAAGTTACAAAATAATACTGAAATGAAAAGAAAGTGATTCAATTTTATTACAATGTATAGAATGTAGTACTTTTATTTTGAATCGTACACTTGCTGTTGGAGTAAGTAATCACCTTAGATTTCCTACAAATATAGAGTGAAGATTTATGTGTGCCCAGGAAAGCAGAGTGTGGGAGAGGTAAAATGTTTGAATTATTAAACAGATTTTTATTTTTTTTTATTTTTTATTTTTTTAAAGATTTTATTTATTTATTTGACAGAGAGACACAGCAAGAGAGGGAACACAAGCAGGGGGAGTGGGAGAGGGAGAAGCAGGCTCCCCGCAGAGCAGGGAGCCCAATGCGGGACTTGATCCCAGGACCCTGGGATCATGACCCGAGCCGAAGGCAGTCGCTTAACCAACTGAGCCACCCAGGTGCCCCAAACAGATTTTTAAATACTTTAGAAATCTGTCAGTGTGCCTTGGTATCACTATTCAATTAAGGTAAATGTTGACTTAATTTCTTTGTATTTCACTTATGTGATCATTTACTATAAGGTTTTGCCTTTCAGCCTAAAAGTATTGTTGCAAAGAACATGCAGCTTTAGGATCGAGATGGTGATTTCATTTGAGGTCTTCAATAGACTTGTGGTGGGAAATTAAACAAGTGACATAACCTCAGGCATTGCCTGAACTTGGTTATTTTATGAACTGTAATAAAAATGCTTGTTATCAAATGTTAAGTATGGAGCATTTTGAACCCCTTGGATGAAATACTTAATTTGAATTTACTCAGCCTTGTAAATAAATTTAAAAGATTAATTGACCTGCACAAATTTGTTACCAACCTTCTCTTTCCCATGGTGGCTAACTTCTAGTAAAACGAAGGAAATTAACATTTCTTTCTATTTCTTTCTCAGATGTAAGTGTTCACAGGGTTGAGTAGGTCATTATCTCTTACCTGATATAGATCTATTACAATCCACTGAGGTGTTGTGTGGGAAAACACTTCACATTAGGATAGAATACAGATTTAGGGTCACTTAGGTCTATGAATTTGGCCTAGATCATAAAGTAATGAATAATAAAAAGTTTTAGAGAATAGGGTTTCTATGCCAGGAATGTTCCCTCTGAAGTGAAATCCCTAGATGAAATGACTGGGGGAAAAACTCCAATCTGAAAATTGGGTTCTTTTTTATCCTATTTTACTCTGAAAATAGCTAGGAAAAAAAGCACCAAGGAACAAAATAAACACAGGCTTGAGGGTACAGCACTTCCTCCCCTCATCACTGGTTAAATCACAGGAGAATAGGCAGCAGAGGATGAGGTGGTGAGAAAGAGAGACTGAGAAACAAAGAGAGGAAAAATGGGATGAGCTGGTGTGCTAAGTCCTCTACAGAACTTTTCAGGGAAACTCTGGGCTTCGTAGGTAAGGAAGAGATCCTAGGAAGGTTCCTCAGGGAATTGTGTTGTCCCTGATCTTCAAATTTTGGGTTGTCTTTCTTGTACTCTAGCCTCCCTCTGTACATAGTCAATATTTAGCACCATCGAAGTAGTTTAATGATCTCAACCATGAAAATACAATTTAAAAACAATTCTAAATAATGCTCATTCTGTTGGCATCTTAGTTGGTTTACAAAAGAAGTTTTTATAGATGACTGACAGAGGTGGTAATACAAACCTTTAGGGAAAAGATAGATTTGTTAGTAAATGGGTGAAATAGAGCAAGACACAGTAGGGAAAAGAATGTGGAAGTATTTTAGGGAATGTAATTCTGAAGGCTGGATATTGCCCTTTTGATTTGGCCGAAAAACAGAGAACATATAAGCGTAGCTAGAAGGAATCACAGAAATGGAAGGCGGTGAAAATAATAAAGCTATGCAATGGGATTAGCCATGGCAAGGACAGAGAGACTAGGGTATCTATAATGGCTTCAAAAAGAATGTCCTGGGCTGGTGAAAGGCTGAGGCAAAACAAGAACTGTGCTTTGTGAAACTTGTAGAGCAAACAGAGAATGCAAGAATTGATTGCAGTGGGGTCATTTGCGTCGTTTTAGCAATTGGCATATATGGGAAACACACTTTTTGACAAAGGGAAGCTATTATATAGCAATAATGACTAAATAAAAATAGTATCAAATATTACATTTAAGTGGCTCAGTCAGTTAAGTGTCTGCCTTTGTCTCAGGTAATGACCCCGGGGTCCTGGGATTGAGCCCAGAGTCCCCAGAGTCAGGCTCCCTGCTCAATGGGGAGTCTGCTTCTCTCTCTCTCTCTGCCCCTCCCCCCAGCTCATGCTCTCTCTCTCTCTCAAATAAATGAAATCTTAAAAATATATATATTACATTTAAGTTTCACATTTTTTAACTTAATTCTTTCAGAGACACATATTGTAGAATTTAAATTGTTGGTTTTTAATTCATGCTAATCTTCTGTTGAGAAAAAAAAATTTTTTTTAATATTTCAGAAGATTGTTTTCCTATTGTTTAATTAAAAGAGGAAGTAAAACACACAGACCCCTTCCACTAGCAGGTCCAATTCACTTCACTGATTGAAAAAAGAGCCGGAAATGAAAGAGTAACAGATGTTCTGATGACCCATCATTTCCAACATCTAAGTTCTGCAACTTCACACACATGCAAAGAAAGAGCACGAAGAAATGTCTCGGCCTGGCAACTCTGAGGAATTGGAGTGACAGGAACAGAGAGAAAAAAATTTCTAAGGAAATTTTTCTAACGGAATTCTAAGGAAATATCAGCATGGCTAGTATTTGGAGTAGATATTAAGAATTATATATACAGGTGGTGCCTGGGTGGCTCAGTCGTTAAGCATCTGCCTTCGGCTCAGGTCATGATCCCAGGGTCCTGGGATCGAGCCCCGCATCGGGCTCCCTGCTCCGCTGGAAGCCTGCTTCTCCTTCTCCCACTCCCCCTGCTTGTGTTCCCTCTCTCACTTTGTCTCTCTCTGTCAAATAAATAAACAAAATCTTAAAAAAAAAAAAAAAAAGAATTCTATATACAAAATGAAATGAAAGCCAAACCTGTATTTTCACTGATGTTGAGTAGGATACATGTCTCAAATGTAAGTAAAGGGAAACATGTAAGTAAAGGGAAAATAAACCACTTGTAAAAATGATTTCTAATTTTGTTGGCTAAGCATTTGGGGAGAGAAAAGACTAGATTCTATCAAATCCTTATTAAAAACATAAAAGAGTGTAACAGTCTAGGTTTCACAAATTCAAATGCATCCGGGCACCATTCAGTGAATGTGAATGAGTGAAGCAGGCTAATAATGAGACTCCGGTGATAGGACACCTGTGAATGTCTTGCTTGATGAAAGCATTCAAATTCAATTAGGAAAAAAAATCTAGTGTGGCTGAACAAATACCTTCAAAGGTGCCAGTTCTCAACAGCTGGAGCTGTCAAAAGTACTTGAAATTTTGTACATGATATAAAGTAATTTCTTTGCTTTTCATAATCTAGTACTTAAGGGTAGCTCTTCTTTGGGAATATTTAAACTCTACCTAACCTGTCCCAGGTTGATTTAAAACCTTCAGGAATCTTTGCCCCAGGAGTAGATCAGGAAGTGAAAGAGAATTAACTCGCTTTTCAGAAAATCAGACTTTCAAAAGAAGCAAATTGGTGGGGTTCACTATAAAAAAAATTAGGTTTTTATGCTTTACTCAAGATACATGTAAGTGACATTAAACTGAAACCTTGCCTTGTTTATAAATGCTCACACAGGCTTTCCATTGTAATTGATTTTAACTTTGTTGCAAAGATCTTTCTCTTAGGTCCTCAAAGAAAGTTGGATAGGTATTGAACATTATTATATGTTGGAAAAATCTAACACTGTAGTTGAAAAAAGTTGCAACGATTCATTTTCTAAATATTAGATACACATTTCCAAATCTTTTGATCAGTTATATTTAAAAGTATTTTTGAAATTATATCATGCCAAAGAAACATGGGGGTGGGCTGTTGAAGAGTCAGTGTCTTGATTCAATGACAAACATGTATTGACTACATACTTTCTGCTTGATGTGAGATGTAAAGGTTCTCATTGCTAATGTCTTACTTTTCTCATAATTACAGCTGACGAGATTGGTATTTTTCCATTAAAGTTTCATACTTGAGACTTGAGGGAATATACTTTTAAGAATGAATGGAGAGGGGTGCCTGAGTGGCTCAGTTGGTTAAGCAACTGCCTTCAGCTCAGGTCATGATCTCAGGGTCCTGGGATGAGCCCCGCATCGGGCTCGCTGCTCAGCGGGAAGCCTGCTTCTCCCTCTGACCCTCCCCCTGCTTGTGTTCCCTCTCTCACTGTCTCTCTCTGTCAATTAAATAAATAAATAAAATCTTTAAAAAAAAATTTAAAAAAGAATAAACGGAGAAACTTCCTTATGTGGTTTTCAAAAAACATTCAAAGAAGAATGATTATAACCTACAAAGCCATCTTTTAAATTTACTGGAAAACTTAAAAAAAAAAAACTAAGCTTTTTGGGGACTCAACATCATTTTAAAATATTTCAAATTAAAGGGTCATTTCAGTTCATAATAAATCTATGATAAAAATGCTTTTGGGGCACCAACGGCAAGCAGAGTTTGATTTGGTCCAGTGCTAGTCACAGTTTAGTGAACGTCAGAACCATAGGGAATTGTCACAGCGTAGGTTCCTGGGCTCCATCCCTAAAGGTTCCTATTCCCATTCCAGAGGACAAGGGGTAGCCAAAGCATTTATATTTCCAACAGGTTCCTGAGTGACATGGATGCAGCTGATCTATGGACTGTATTTCGAGTAGCACGGATTTTGGGGTGTCCCAAGAAGCATAGTATATGCTAACAATTTAAATTATGTTTTTCAGAAAAATCATTTCAACTGTTCCAGAAGAGCTAAGTGCCAAGAAACCAACGTCAGTTCTGTACAGATACAAGGTGATGCGGATTATTTCATCAACCATCTTGGAGTTCCCACTGTGCAGTTTGCCTTTGAGGATATCAAAGCATTAGAGGTGATTGTTCCTAAAAATGCAAAACCCACAAACCCATACACACACACACACAGTATAGCAGACATGCAGAATTTGATTTTATCCTGGCTATTTGTCTTTCTTACCAAGTAGGTCACTATAGGAGGCTGCTTCATTTAGAGAGTTATTCTTGTTGTTCAGAGGCTTTGTAACAGTATTTGAAAACATCAGCTCTTTTCAATAGTGTTGAATTCAATTTAAAAAGATTTATACTGTCACATTTTCACAGTGTGCTTCGCAACAAGAAATTTGCAGTAGTTGGATTAACATCAAAACATAATTGTAATCTTCAGTATTCACAGAAACAGATGACATGGACAATGGATTCTCCTCTCCTTCCCCAAGGGAAAATGCGTTTCACATTCTGTATATTAATGTGAGTCTTGTGGATTAGCTGCCCGAAGTTTGTCAATAGTTTGCCTGCCCAAAAAGATACTACTTTTTATGAGGATAGGAGGTTTTTTCTCCCAAAGATTGATTTACCTTAACTAAGTCTGTGTTCATCTATCTGTTGGACTTCAAACCTTTTGACCTTTCTCAGAATTACGACACAGGAAACTGTTTCTCTGCAGATCTAAGCCTGTTGGAGTATTTTACCTTTCACAAGTTGTGCATGCTTTATTGGGAGCAATTTGAAAGTTGGGCGGCCTGATTAAGGTAATTATTATATTAACAATATAAATAGTGACTGGAAAATAGAATAAAACCTGCTTTGTTTTTCAACTATAGATGCTCCTGAAAAGTTGTGTTTAAATTACATTTTTATAGGCTCAACTTCAGGTATGGGGTATCTTAATTTCTGATAGCATTAGCAATATTTCACTTTCTGTTTCTCAGCAGCGCTCCCACACTCATCCCTGAGTTCCTCTGTAAACAGCTAACGGTCACTAATGACTTCAATTCATGGAGGGAGAGACTCCAGGTGAATCCTATTTTTTTTAAAGCTTTTTTTTTTTTTTTAAGATTTTATTTATTTGCGAGAGAGAGAATGAGAGGCAGAGAGCATGAGAGGGAGGAGGGTCAGAGGGAGAAGCAGACTCCCTGCCGAGCAGGGAGCCCGATGCGGGACTCGATCCAGGGACTCCAGGATCATGACCTGAGCCGAAGGCACTCGCTTAACCAACTGAGCCACCCAGGCGCCCAGGTGAATCCTATTGTAATGAGGTGAATTCTTAGGTAATGGAAAAGTTATCATTACAATTTACCTGTTTTTTTAAATTGTATTTTCATATGCTATTGTTGTGTAAAAATGGGATACGTGTGTAGGGGTAGTTTTTTACCAAGCCCACTATATACACTTTAATGAAATCAATGTATTAAGACAATAACTCATTTTTAATTTTCCTGCTTGATATCTTTTAATATCTCTTCATCATCCTCCTACCTCAGCCCATCCAGCTCCTGTCATGTTAACGTGTTGAATATCTTTTATCCCATCCCTGTCTAAATCATCATGGTTAAATCTTAAGCCAAGAATTTGACAGACAGTATAGTATAGCATTAGGAATGGGTCGATACTTGACTCTGATACTTACGAGACAAATGAGTTGACCTCTTTCAGACTTGTTTTGCAAATGAGGAGCCCTGTTATACTTCTAGGCAATGGAAACAATATATATTCTAGGCAATGGAAACAATTGGCTAAATTGTGCATTACTCACCAGCTTGCCATGTTCTTTATTAAGGAGTCTGCCATGTTGTTTGTCCTAGAGTGCAGTTAAGAAGAGTATTTCTTCAATGCCTGTTGCTATCACAAATTGAAATAACCTAACAGGCCACATGTTTCCCCAGACTTGCATTGCCTGCATTACCCCCCTGGCCCTTGTAGGAATGGGGTTCATTATCACTGCACTCATTTTCAGTAAAAGAGCCAAAGTGGACAATTCTATAGTCCTTTTCACTTTATAAATCGCATGTGTTCTAAATGAGCTAATTTTATAATTATACTCAGGTTTTGGGAGAGATGATTTATTTAAATTTTATTTGGGTGATTATAATGCTAACTTCAGTGCTTTTGCCATTTTTTTTTTCCAGCAGATTGATTATGGAGCTATTATAGTCTGTTTCAACGAGTGAATGATAATAGGGAAAAAAAAAAAAAAACTGTAGGAAAAGAAACTAGTGCCACAGACGCCACTTTAAATGGACATATGGGGTATTATTCTAAAATGATTTTTGGTGAAACATGACATTTTATAATATCCATCCCCAATATTTCATGGTTCCATATTCCCACCAAGGCCTTTTCCCTATAGTTTCCCTGGGTGCTTATATATTGAATAAGATTGCATGAAGCATATTTCATCTTTAGCTTTTCTTGGTGTCTATGCTCTAATTTTCCAATAACTAATTTCACAGATGCAAAGCAATGTATGGATTTGCCAAATGCTAGAATTATTCCTTCTCATAAAATATTGCCCTGTTAATTGAAATGTCTTCAGTTGTATTTTTCATTTAAATAAGGTTTTCAATTTGTAAACATTGTTGCACCTGTTAGGAGAAAGAAGCATTCTGCACAGATTAAATACAATGCAGAGATTGCTGAAAAGGAAATGAAAAGACAGATGCTTTCTGATTAAGAGTGCAATATTTATGACAGGCTGGTGGTCTGATGCACATTTCTTCTGTCACTTAACAGCTGTTTCACATAATTTTTGTTCCAGATCAGTATATTTACTCTCCATAGGGCATGTCAGAGGGTCTGGCTTTCTTAGTATATCAAAAGATCAATCCATGCCCTAGTAAGCTTTCTACCACAGATTGAAGCTCTTGTTCCTCACGCTGTTTAACCTTATATTTTTTGCTCTTCTGCTTGAAACATTCTTTTTTAAACCCAATTTACCTCTATAATGGAGCATTTAACATTTAAATGATAATGAGATAAAGAGGTATTATAACTTTTATATAGCTGAGTTTTTTGCATAATTGTTTCAATATCATTTAGTAACCCAGCAACTGAAAACCAAGTAGCATAGGTATTTTGAAACTCTTATTCTTTTTAAGTTAGATGGCTCTGATATCAATTTTTTTTTTAAGATTTTATTTATTTATTTGACAGAGAGAGAGAGAGACAGCGAGAGCAGGAACACAAGCAGGGGGAGTGGGAGAGGGAGAAGCAGGCTTCCTGCCGAGCAGGGAGCCCGATGTGGGACTCAATCCCAGGACCCTGGGATCATAACCTGAGCCGAAGGCAGATGCTCAACGACTGAGCCACCCAGGCGCCCTCTGATATCAATTTTGATTCTTAAACTGATATATAACAGCATGAGTATCTGGGTGTATGTATGCATGTGTGAACTTTAATTTTAAGGTAATTTTATCACATAAAAATAATTAATTTGTGGAGGAACAATACAGATACAACACTACAATACACATGCACACATTTTGGAGCAAAGTAACTCATAGTTTACATCTTGATTCTTCATATTTTATACTACTGAGTAGAAGAATACTTTATTTTACTTAGTGATAATTCTTTCATTACATTTTCTGTTTGGAACTTAGTCACTGACACTGTTGTGTTAACAGATAATAACAGTTCAAAAGTCAATTAGAAGCTCTTGACTTAAGGAGGGGCACCTGGATGGCTCATTCGGTTAAGTGGCTAACTCTTGATTTGGGCTCAGGTCATGATCTCAGGGTTGTGAGATTATTAGCAATTCACCTTTTGGTGGTTGTGGGCTCTGAGCTGGGTGTAGAGCCTGCCTAAGATTCTCTCTCTCCGTCTGTCCCTTCCCCCACTCTCTCTCTCTCTCAAAACAAAACAAAACAAAACAAAAAACAAAACAAGCCCTTGACTTAAGGAACCAAATAGTTGTGTGTACCTATGCATAAGTTGTACTGATATTTTGCAGTATCTGATAGAATTTGTTTCATACTGATAGCTATGAAACTTATGTAATGTCACTTAAAAATGAGATTTTACCTTTCTACTTCATGCTAATTGGAGATGGAATGGAAAGTTGTTCTTTAGAGTTCTCTCTAGTTCATTACTTTTCTTTGTAATTTATTTTGGGAAAAGTGCTTTCAGTGTCAATCAAATCATATGGTATTATTATTTTCAGATCGGACTTAATTCATTTAGGGCAGAGGTTCTTAAACATTTTGTTCTAAAAACCCATTTACCCTCTAAAAGTATTGAAAACTCCAAAGAAAAGAGCTTTTGTCTATGTGACTAATATGTATAAATATTTCCTACATTAGGAATTAAAACTGAGAAAATGTACATATATATGTATTCATTTAAAAATAGATAGTAAACCTGTTACAAATTAATATAAATAACTTATTTTTATGAAAGAGAATTATATTTCCCAAGACAAGAAAATATAAATTAGAAGAGTGGCATTATTTTACCTTTTTGCAAATCTCTTTATGGTGACGTAATATGAGATAGCTGGATTCTCATATGTGTTTCTACACTTTAATCTGTTGTTATATGTTTTCTTGGTTGAAATGTATGAAGAAAATCTGGTGTGATAGTCTTTTCATATAATGGCAAGTATTTTTCTTCTATACTACACTGAGACTTGGGAAGTATTAGTTTTCTAACGGTTAGTTTCAACGTGGAATCTACATATTGATGAGCTTTTTGCAACCTGTACACTTATGAATGGAGAGAGAAAATGAAAGCATGAAGCTATGTAATGTCATTATTATTATGAAAATAGTGTTGATCCCAGGGAGCCCTGAGGGCCTCCGACCACACATGGAGAAATGCTGATTTGGGGACGTGGCCTTGGTTACACTAGCCTACCTCATCCTTTATGTTTGACCCAAGGTGTTCAACATTGCTCTTTTTCAAGAATCTGAACTGTGATTCTCTATAAACCTGTTTGTGTATTTTCCGGGCATTTCTGGGTATTGCCATCCCATTCACCTGACAAACAACATGAAGTAGGGAATATAACACTCTCATAAACTGTGACTTTACAAAGAATTGCACTTCTGAGAAGCCTTCTTTTAGAAGACAAGGTTAA